AACCCAAAGTCTTTTGATATATGTTCATCGGTTTTCGGGCGCTCCATTGCACACCCTGCCTGCCATATCCAACTTGACTCCTTTTGGATAGTCTTGCCACCAAGGAATCAGAATGGTGGAGTAGCCGTCACCCTTGCTTAGCCATCATTGCCAAGTTAAAGGCATAAAGGTCTCGACATCCCAAACCACCCTCCGCCTTTAGTTTACATAATGTCCCATGACCACCGCTGGATTTTACGCCCCTCCAGATCACTTCCTCACCAAAACATCGTTATTAACTGATGTAATTCATCGCAAAAAGTTTTCAATCATGAAAACAGCTCATTGCATAAGATGGAAAAGTTTGAGCCACCACCTCTCTTTAACGAAAGAAAGAGGTTTGTTTCTTGTTCTTTCCCACACCCACAAAGGTAGGTAGCACCAAGTATCTATCATGTGATCCACCAACTGAACCCCCAGAAAATTAGCACTAAAAGCCACACTACTTTTACTGAAGTTCCCTGCTTAACCCAACCCGATGATTTGGAATACAAGTCCAAGACATTTCGGATGACAACGCATTCATCCACGTTGGCCTTACCAAATAGAAAGCTATCGTCGGCGAAGAGCAAATGATGAATACTTGGTGCCCCGTCACAAACGTGTATACAACTCAAAACTCCTGTTTGTTACTTCTTTGCAATGAGCCGATAGACCTTCAACACAAATGAGGAAAAGATATGGGGTCCCCTTGCCGTAGTCCCCTGGTCGGTACCACGTAACCTTGCGACTCTCCATTAATTAAAAAAGAATATGAGACTGATTTCACGCAAGTCATGATCGCCTTAGTCCATTTCCCATCAAATCCCGTCTTAAACATCATTGTTTCCAAAAACGCCCATTCCACTTTGTCATGGGCCTTACTGAGGTCCAGTTTCAGAGCTAGAGAACCATCTCTCTCCGTCATATTTAATTCGTGATCTGAGATCTATTGAGTGAAGTGAATACTAAACCGTAGTAGAGATTTAGAGTCGTCTAGCAACTATTACTTTTAATTCAAACATAAAAACAAAAGAAAATTGGTATGAACCTAAGATCTCTTCAATGATTTCTTGCATTGATCATGTTCTTTGTAAGGTGAAGCTTCAATCTATGCCATGTACGCATCAAACCAATTGCATATCGAAAAAATATCCCTCTAAAGTTAGCTTCTTAAATCTAGAAATTTTCTCAAAGGGTAATGTTAGATAAACTAAATTTGTAAACTAAATTTAATGATGTATCACTAATAAGCAATAAACATGTTAATCTATACTTGAGTAATAATCCAATCAACTTTTGTGTCATTTAGTTTACAAAATTTAGTTTACCAATTTAATCTCTCTAGCATTACTTTTTCTCGAATGCACCCGTCGAAGGGGAGTTGAAATGAAGCAATTTTCGCACTTCTATTTTTCTATTCTCTTGGTTTTTTTTTTCTTTTTTTTTTCTTTTTTTTTTTGTCAAACATTATAAAATCTATTAATAAAGAATGCTAGTTCAAGAGAAGGAAAGCTCAAAACAAACAAGTAAAAGCATAATCCAACATAATGGAAACTACAAAAAAGACCACAAACAAGAGAAAACTCCAACTGAAACCCTAGATTTGAAAAAAAAGTCCTCCAAGCTTGTTGCAGTGATAGGAGCATATTTAGGCGACTTACTTAGCTTGTTTTCGTGCATCTATGTTGTTAATTCATAGTTGTTTTAGTAGTTTAAGCCATTTTCGTGTGTTTTTTGGTTCATATGGCTAAGGAAGCAAAAAGATGCATTTTGGAGCATTTTGGAGCAAAATTGGGCTTGGAATGGATAGCATATGATTGGAGCCAAAATGTTGGACGAATTTGAAGGCCTTGTATTCACTTTGGACATAAAACAAAGGGCCTAGCCCATTCTCTCTTAAACCAACCCCAAGGCCATGCATTTCCTTCCAATTCCAAAACCCACAATCACTTCAAAAGCCATGCAAATCCATATTCAACACCCTAAACTACAACCATGCATCATTACACCACCTTCTCCATCTTTATTCCACATGCATTCATTATAATTCACCCTAGCTACCACCATTCACACACACATGCACTTATTCTTTCATCATTGCACCACCAATTCAACACATGCATTCACACACCAACAACATCTCCCTTGTGCCGTGCATTCCCCCTAATTCCATCCATCTTCCACACCTTTCCAACCTAGCCACACCCTTTAATCATTCCCCCCTTTAAGTTATGATTTTATTTCCTAACCCTACATGCATTATTTATTAACTCTTCATCATGCATCCACATTCATTCCAACACAAAACACACACATGCACTTATTCTTTCATCATTGCACCACCAATTCACCCACATGCATTTCCAACCATTCACACCCCTTTAATCATTCTCCTAGCTATCATTCACATGCTCTCCCATCCATTCTCTCCCTATATAAACCACACACACTTCATTCATTGGCATCATTCATTCACTCCCCATTACATCTCATTTCATACACAACACCACAACACAAACATTTCCCCTTAGAATCCAAAACCGTGGGTTCCCTTCCATTTCTCCTCCATTGCTTCCATTTCCACCACTCCCCAAACCATCCACACCATCAAACTATCCTTAGACCTTATGCTACAACGAAGAGGAAGAGAAGAGGGCCTAAACGTTCATACAATTCAAGTTTGAGTTGTTGGAATGTTTAGGCGTTTCTTTGATTTCAAGGTTTAATTTCAATTCTCTTTGTTTTGTACGTATGAGGAACTAAACCCCCCTTGGCTAGGGGGGATTCGAAATATATGTTTATGCTTGCAATATGATTTGATTACTTCTAATTACGTTTCATAAGTTGTGAATTCAATTTGTTTAACTATTTGATTGATAACCTATTTATGTATGTTTATTGAGAGTTCACGCTTAATTTTCATGCATGAATTTGACGCTAGAATATAAGTGAGTTTCACGTAATAGTTATGAACTTATATTCACAAGTAGTGAAGGTTGCTTATAAACAATCGCGTTAAACATATTCTTGGCATAAGTTTCATGCAATCATAGTAACGAATGCCTCGTCAACACTTATAGTTTTCATGTTGCTTAATGATTCTTGCTTGTATCTCTATTATGCAATTCATGTAGGGAACTTGTGAGGAATGCTTTGGGTTGTCGTATGCAATCATCCAATTCATTAACTTAAGGAAAACTTGACGGTTAATTTAAGCGGACCTAATTAACCCGGGGCGTTGAGAATTCATGGTTTAGTGAAAAGCCATTAGAAAGCGTTTTGTATGCAAGTATAACATGTATGGAGATGAACCCCTTAGCTAGCCATCCCATCCATTCATCTCCGTCAAAATCGTATTTACAATTTGTTTTCTTTGCAATCTATCCATTTTAGTTTAATTTCGTCCAAAACTCAATCCCCCTTTACTTTATTGTTCATTTTAGTTAGAAATCAATTTAGTTTGTGTTTTTAAAGCATTTTGAATCTTTGGTTTGTCTTAGTGTTTTAAAGTTTAGTTTTGCATTCTTTGAGTCTAGTATAGTGTTTTATATTGTGTTTTTACGTTTTTGAGTCAAATCCAAGTGATTAACAATCCCTCCTAATCCCCGGTCCAGAACGATCCCTACTTATACTTATACTACAATTGACAAAAAGAGGGTTTAATTTGTGTGCGTATAATTCACGCATCATGCAGCACCTTCGCAATGCCAACATCATCAATAAGACAAACCAAGGAACCACAAATGGATGGAAGAAAAATGAAGGTGGCCAAGCTACCCGTGCAATGAGCGCTCCCATAGTCCTACCAGATAGTGCAAAAAGCACTTTAAAAGCCACCGCACGCCAGAGCACACCTCCGAAGGAACAACTTGGAAGAGCTCAAAATAAACTGAGACAAAAGCTCAGAGCACAGCACCAAAGGATATCAGATGCTAATGCAGATGAGGGAAAGAAAAGAAAACCAGAGGGAAAGCAGAAAAAAAAACAGGAGAGGGAGAGACCAGGACGGAGAGAAAGAAAGGATTTGAGGGAGGGGTTAGAGAGCTAGAGGGGAGAAATAAATCAAAAACCCACCCAAACTTCACATTCATTCATTTACAATTCATTGCATACGAAAACCTCTGCAACACATCGAACAAACGATTTTCTCATCCTTCAATGAGGCTACGCAACAAGTCGAAATATGATTAATGACATCATGATTTTCAATAACCACACTTCTACTGTAAAGGTTCACTGCCACGCAATGTTTTAAAAGACGCGCCCCGAGGCGCACCTAGACGGCTTTGGAGGCGGGGCGGGAGTGATAATGCCTCTGCCCAGTGGGAGTGGGCAAAAACTCACCGAGGCGTTGTTGAGACGAGACTAGGCGGCTAAGGCGCGCCTAAAGGCGGTTGGCGAGCGTTCCCAGATCCATCCGCGACCCAAAATCAAAGTCAACTGCTCTATTTTCAAGCTCTGCCATCTGAGTTTTAGGTTGCAGGCTGTGCGGTGTCTTCACGAGGAAGACAACTGCGAAGAAGAAGAGGGATTTTTTGTTGTTTTTTAAAGACTTGGTCCAAAACGACATCGTTTTGGCCAAGTCTTTAATTTTTTTTAAATGACTTGGCCCAAAACGACGTCGTTTTGGCCAAGTCTGTTTTTCTTTTATTTTTAAAACCCCAAGAGTCTTTGTTTCCTCTGTTTTTCTCACCTGTTTCCTCAGTTTTTTTTCAGCAATCCTCTATTATTTAAGGTCCCGTAAGGCTTCGCCTCACGACTTACGCCTAGGCTGGGCTATCCCTTGGACGCCCACGCCTCACGCTTTTACTACATTGCTGCCACGTAACGTCCCAATCCAATAATGCAGTAAGAATATTACACAGCGTCACAATGATGGTAAACCCGTTTCATGTGTGTCCTGCCAAAAGACAGCAACATAAACACTCCCTGCTGAGATGCCAGGCAATGGTGGAGTTCCAATTGGGGCATAAAGTCAATTGCAAGCAACAGAAGATTTAGGTTTTTCCATGAAACAAAAACTTCTAAAATTCCACAATGGAGTCGAAATTTCCATTACACAGTTAAATTTCACTTTTCTTTCTTTTTTTCCGGAAACAAAAAGTCGCACTAATTCTGATACGCTAATGGCTATTTTGCCACTGTAGAAGTAACTTTTCAGCTTCATCTTCTGTACGACACAAAAGAAGGCAGAGGTGAATAATCAAACCTTGCAGCTGAGAGAAAGCCGAGCAGCACAAGATGATACAGAAGGTGTTCTCAGAAGTTACAATTAAAGCTTCTGCAACCGATCAGCCCTTACCCTGCGAGAGAGAAAAGTATGCAGCTAAACATCATTGGGTTCAGAGAAATCACAGTTGATAAAAATTGGATAAAATTCAAGGCCACTGAACAATGAATTAACATAGAGATTTCCCATAACAGCTAATTCCTACCGCCAATTACTTTAGGCTTCCATTCAGTACTATTTGGCCTACTGTAATCGTGTTCGTTGTTTCCGTTTGATTTATTCAATCCAAAGGCCAGAAATAAGGACAGGCATGTATGAAAAGAAAAATGGTGTGGCTATTCCAACACTCGTAGCAGTTTTTCACCTATTGCTTTTCGGAAGTAATTCCTATGTCTAAATCTCTGTACCTTGTGAGGAGGAGTTCCTGGTCTTAACATGTTGTTGCTTATCCCAAGCTTTCCCTTCTTCTCAGATGCTTTCAAAATCTGGAAGGAACATGTCAATGTATCATCTACACTCATCATGGCACCAGCATTATCGAACTCCCCACAGTAATTTGGTGCTGAAAATATGGTTACCAGCTTTCTTTTTCCAAAAAACTCATATCCATCTTCCACAACCTGATAAACGAAACCCAATAAATTTAATAAGAAATGGACAAACATTGAGAGAATCTGATAATAAAATACAATTTGCATCTCAGACCGAGCAAAAACATGTGTTCAAAAATACTCATATAAATAATTTCACTCCAGCATCAATCGAAGGAGGTGAAACACAAGAAGTCCTGCTGTCGAATAAATATTTTCAAGTGTACAACTACTTAATGAAAAATGTATACCTGCGCCTAGAATCTCAACACAGCACATAGCATACTAGCATTCGATACCAATACCCCAGGATAACAACCCAATGGACATGCCACAATGACAAAGTTGATGATGAGTAGTCGTATGAATATGACAAAAAAGGGAAATCAACTCAGAAAAACAGATAAATCATGCAAACACACACACAATCTCAAATTATAACTTACACCGTGTGCTTTCACATGTTCTCCAAAATATGAAAGACTAAATTTTAAAAAAAGTTACGTCAAAATTATCATCCATATTACTGTCATGACAAGTTTAGCTGTACAAGAAAAGTGATTATTTGAAGATGCATCTCATGTGGTCAAATCTTTAAGTCCCCAGACATTGTGTATACATGATGATGCAGGTCCAGTTCAGTCACAAACGAAAAAACAAAAAGAAAGAAAACAACTACATAGCACCTGATGAGCACGACAAATGAGATCAAGGCCATGTTTCTGAAGAAATTCGGCAACCTTGTCAGCCCCAAATGTATATGACACGCCACGATCATTCTCTCCCCAACCTTCAACATCTTTATCAGGATCAGCCCATAATAGATCACAGAGAAGGCCCTGATCTGGCACGTCCACCGGCCGTGCAATATTCCTAATCTGATCTAAGTGTTTCAAATCAGGAGACAGACCGCCATGCATGCAAAGGATCTTCTCATCAATAAGAGCAGCAACAGGAAGACAGTTGAAGCAGTCAGTAAATGTCTTCCAAATACGAACATTAAATCTTCTCTTGCACTCGTCATAGAATCCATAGATGCGGTTGATGGAAGCGCATTCATGGTTACCTCTAAGGAGAAAGAAGTTCTCCTTGTATTTGATCTTGTATGCAAGGAGAAGGCATATTGTCTCTATGCTTTGCTTACCACGATCAACATAGTCTCCTAGGAATAAATAGTTGGCTTCAGGTGGGTACCCACCATACTCAAACAGTCGCAAAAGATCTGAATACTGACCGTGAACATCTCCTGAGAAACAAAGAGGGAGGATGAGCATTGTCATCTTAGTAATCAACAGCAATTTCACATGTTTTCAATTTAGGAAACAAATATGAAAACGGTTCTTAATTAATCGTTTGAATTAATACACATCTACATTGTAGATTCAACTAGAAATAGGTCTTTAATTGTTATTGAAATGATATAAGATCTACCGTTATCAACAGAAATGGATTTCCATCCATTTTAAAAAACTAAGGTGAACATGAGAATGCAAACCAGATAATGGCTGACAGTCATGAATATAAAATTACTTAACTGAAATTCCTTAACAAGGCACGGTGCTAAATGGTGGAAAGTGAAACGATGCTAAAAGTGTAGTCCACCGTGTTTTCCCTCCGCATCAAATAACTAGAAGCTATACGTGCGATTTTGCACACTATAACAATTTGATTGACACATAACACTACTGGATTGGCCAACTTACAAAAACACACAATTTGACCGACTTTCAACTGTATGTGCGAATGTAATAAATGAGGATAGAATATAAAGCCTATTACTTGGTAGCATCAACTTTTGACATTTCCCCAATAGGGGGGAAACATCAAATTTTGACTACATTCAAGAGTCAATCTCCACCCCAAGAAAAGGGTACTCTCATTCCTCACAATGACGAACTTCAAAGACTATCTACCAAAATCCAACTTCAAAGAATGCCTACCTACACAAAGCACACATGGAACTAGTGACGGAGAAATTGATGCCTGTCTAATCTAAAAGTAGAAAATAAGCACAATACAGCCACATCATAGACACTAGTTCCGGATGACCTAAGAACTACTTTTCAGAGTAAGAAGCCTATCTAATGCAGCAACAGGCAACCACGCCAAAATAAAAGTCAAAGGACAAGCTAACGAATTACTGAAAGGCCTCATATGGAACCTCAATCTGACTAGAACCTTGCAACCCTTTAGCAATGCTCAAAAGTTTTGTTACATAACCCTGCCAAAGTCGCAAATTTTTCTAATGAAATGCTACATTAAATCCTCTGACCATCAACTTTACTTCGTAAGATAAATCCAGTAATAATCCAGAATGTGCTAAATCATACCTTCCACTTTGCAATATATATGAAATTCACCGATATGGATAACAGATTAATCTATATGGTAACCCTTTTACTGGTAATTGCCCTTTCTGCTCTAATCAAATGAACCATTACCCAAAAAAATAAATTCATTACCTTTCCAACAAATTACACAAACCACAGTAACAAAATTCCAATTTCCAACCATCAAACCCTTTTAACATCCTGCGAATTACCCATACTACTCTTTCACACAATCAAGTCCAAATTCAACACATAAGCATGCAAACAAAGTCAAAGAAGCAACTTTTCAATTCATCTGAAGCAAAAAAACCAAAACTTTCAATCCACAAATCATTTAAAAACCCTAGTTCTTTACCACAGATCTTTATCGGAGCTTCAAGCTCCAGAAGATTCGGCTGACTGAGAAAGATTTCCTTGGAGGCGGAGCAAAGCTGCCGTATTTCAGCCTCCGTGAGTTGCACCTGTTTGGTGGTCCGGCCATTCTTCGCTGCCACAAGCTTCCGTATAAGATCGTCGACAATTCTCTCGTCCATCATAGCAAATCACCCAGAAAAAGAAAAAAAATACCCACTAGAGCAAACGAACCCAGAATACCAAAACCCTAGCACTCTTGGTCGAGGTGAAAAGTGAGAGGATAAAAGATGCGATTAACGCGTAGAAACCCGAGAGACAGAGAGAATCAGAATAACAATAAGAGCGTCGAAATCAAAAGCAGAGATTTTGGGATATTATATTTAGGGATTTACGGGTTGGAGAGGATGTGGTGGAGGTGTGCGTGGCGGCCATTTTCGGCTGGTGACATGACAGAGAGAGGAGCGATAAAGGAAGGACAGAGAGTTGAAAAATGAGTCACAGTTGGGGTTTTAGAGGGGGGACCTCTTTCTTTCGGCTTGGCCGTGTTGGAGCCCTAAAATAAAATTTGGGAGTGCTTGCCAACCCTATCTGGAAACTTTTGGGAGCACGTGACTCGCACGTGTATGGAGTGTACAGGGACACAAATTTTGTTTTGTTAGTGCAATGATGGGATCCTTAATCAGACTCCTAAAAGTTGAACTCCAACAACCTCAATTAAACTCCATAAAACTGTTGGTCTGTCCACGTGTTTCTAACGCTCGGGTGGCCCCTTGTTCATCTTGGTGGAGTCGAGCGCTCATGACTTGTGCTAGTTTTATAAAAGTAAGTTTTGATTGAGTTAGGTATAATTTATCAGTTTTAATGAGATGTTTTACTTTATTACTAGTCATTAGAAAGAAATTTTCTTTCTCACATATCACATTATTATTTGTTTACATAGTATTTAATCATCAATTCTTTAATTCATACATGTATTATGGTTTTATATGACATTCTCTAAAGTTTCATTTTAAATTTTCACGTTTTTGAGCAAATTTTTATCATTTTTATCGAAGACAACTGATACTGTGACATCCCACATCGCCCAGAGGAGTGATCCTTATATGTATATTATCATCCCTATCCAGCACGAGGCCTTTTGGGAGCTCACTGGCTTCGGTTCGGTAGGAACTCCGAAGTTAAGCGAGAATGGCGCTAGAGCAATCCCATGATGGGTGACCCACTGGGAAGTTGCTCGTGAGTTCCCCAAAAACAAAACCGTAAGGGCGTGGTCGGGGCCCAAAGCGGAGAATATCATGCTATGGTGGTGGAGCGGGCCGGGGAAGTGATCCGTCCCGGACCGGGATGTGATAGATACCAAGTAAAATATATCTATTGATATTTCCATAAATTTGGATATGAATATTTCCATCAATATTGATACTTCAAACACTATGATTGGTTGATGATGATGATCATGAATTCATGTTGAAAGTCATGAAATTTTGATGCCCTCCAAACCAATCAAATATATGTTATTTGAAATTATTTATGTGTTCTTTTTGAAGTGGAGGTGGAAATCATCATGTTGGAAAATGTAATATTATTGTTATATTAAATTTATTAATTGAATGGAAACTAAAAATAATCTCTTTTGGTGGAAATATGTGTTTGCCTTAACAAAGAGTTGCAATTTTTTTGCTTTTCATGAAAGATCACATGTTTTTCAAGGAGTTATCTCAAATTCTATAAATAGGAAGCCCCTATAATCATTTAATAACTTTTCTATTCATATATTCAAACATATAATGCACTATTGTTAGAGTAGTGTCCCATTGAGTCCATATAAAGGAGTATTAAACACGATCGTGGTTCATTAGAGCTTTATGATTTGGAGTGTTGCAACTATTATAAGGATGTGGTCGTTGTATCATAGAAGACAAACGCCGATCAACCATAAGCATCATAGTAGGGCGTAAACTTGTCGTAAGGATAGAATGTCTAACATTTGCCTTGACCATATAGTTGGGTTTTTCTAATCTATTATGTCATGTTCATTTAACAATGGTTACTCATGTGCACGCATTACTTTGATATATAATTGCACAAATTATTTCTTAATTTTCTACGTGATTTAATATAGCAATTAGACGCTAAAATTTTCCAACGGATCACAACGTGGCTAACATTCTTTTCTCACTTTCTTCTTTTGGAAATGGTTTTTGTATGCAAGATTTTGCAACAAGCGTGTCTTTGATTTGAAACAAGGTCACTTTAGAACTCTTAAAACCAACAGAGGAAAAGTAGAGATTTGAGGCATCTAATTTTGAAATATTAAAACGGAGGGAGAAAGGGATAATTGTATACATAGAAAAAACATAGGTGCAAACGTTTACAATGTATAAATGCTTTAACTTTGAACGTATAAAATGTCAATTGTTAGGTCCTCTCCAATCGAACGGGCTATATTTAGCCCATGTCTAGATTATAACTCTGTAAGAAATTATTTTTTAATAAACAGTGATAGACCATATTTATATACCATCTCCAACCGAAAGGAACTATTTTTAGCCCCTTCAATAATTTATTATTTTAAGTTTGTTCTTTAATTTTATTGGTTAATTGAATTAAACTATCATATTAAAATAAGGTTTTTAGACATATTTTGAGTGTCACTTGTTACTAAATGAATAAACCTCCGGGTTTCTTATCTTTATATAATCTTAATGATTTTTTGGATATAATTTTCAGCGACACGTGTCGCTAAAGTGAGTAACTCTTCATATTATTGAAGGGTCCCAATAATGTGAGAAATGGTTTAGGTATTTATAGAAGAAAAAAAATAGATTTTTAATATTTTTTTTAAATTTTATCCTTTTAAAAAAAAAAAATCAAATTCAACGGCTACATGACGTCATGCAACTGTTGGCTGCTATCTGGCTGGCTTCAATTCCCGAGCTCGATGGCCATGGGCTAGAGTTTGGCCCATTAGGTTCCGTTTTTCCTTTGGCCTGGACCTTTATTGGAGATGGTTTTTTCCTCATTGTAGGCTATAAAAGAGCCTATAGCCCTATAACCTAATCCATTGAAGATGGTCTTAGCTATTGTGATAGGTATGTGGTATGTTGGAATATTACCGAACTGAATTGTTGATTAACGTGTTTATTTTTATTAGTGACACATTACATGATTTACAAATTTAGTCTACCTAACAAGAAGGATGTGGGTTAAGTAATATTTAACTCGTCATCTGAGATCTATTATTTATGAGTGAAGTAAAACAAAAAAAATAAAATAAAAGAATACTACTAAACTGTATATAGTCATCACGTGACCTTTTCTTTTAATTCAAACAAAAAAATAAAATAAAAGAACATTGGTAATTTGGTATTACAAATTCTAGAAAATAAAATCTCGTCATTTCAATTTCCGTCATTTTTAAATTCCTTAGTAATCTTAAATTTCTTCATCCAAACATGATGTAAGAGCTTGTTTCTTCAATGATTTCTTGCGTTGGTCAAGATACTACGAAACCATATGTAGTCGTCTCGTGATCCTTTCTTTTAATTCAAACATAAAAATAAAAGAAAATTGGCAGGAACCTAAGATCTTGTTTCTTTTGATCATGTTCTTCGTAACGTTAACCTTCAATCTTCTAATGTACGCATCAAACCGATTGCATATCGGCAACATCGCTCTGTAAAGTTGGCTTCTTCAAAATCTAGAAAATCTGAAGTTTCTGGAGCTAGAGGGCAAATACGACATTTTCTCGAACGCACCTGTTGAAGGGTAGTTGAAAGGATGCGATTTTGCACTTGTATTTTTCTATCCTCTATAGTTTGAATAAATTAAAAAACCCATCCAAACTTCACATTCATTCATTCACAATTCATTGCATAAGAAAACCTTTGCAACACTTTGAACAAACGTTTCTCATTCTTCATTGAGGTTACACGAAAAACCGAACAAGAAGTCCAAATCCGATCAACGACTTCATGATTTTCAATAACCACACTCCTATTGTAAAGGTGCGTTTGTTGCACCAGACTATCTCGGAATAACCACACTTCTACTATAATAAAGGTTCACTGCCACGAGACGTCCCAATCAAATAATGCAATGTCATGTAGTGAGAAACTTACACAGAGCACCAAAATGATGGTAAAGGAGAGCAACACACTCCCGGCTGAACTACCGGGAAATGGTAAAGTCAATTGCAAGCAACAGAAAATTTAGGTTTTTCCATGAAACAATAACTTCTACAATTCAACACAATGGAGCCGAAATTTCAATTATACAGATGGTTTCATTTCTCTTTTTTTTTGGGAAAAAAAAAGGTGCACTAATTCAGATACACTAATGGGTCTTTTGCCACTGTAGAAGTGAATTTTCAGCTTCATACTTCCGTACGGCACAAAAGAAGGCAGAGGTGAATAATTAAACCTTGCAGTCGAGAGAAAGCCAAACAGCACAGGATGATCCAGAAGGAGTTCTCAGAAGTTACAAGTAAAGCTTCTGCAATCGTTCATCCCTTACCCTGCGAGAGAGAAAAGTATGCAGTTAAACATCGTTGGTTTCAGAGAAAACACAGTTGATAAACTTGGATAAACTCCAAGGTCACCGATCGATGAATTAACTTACAGATTTCCCCATAACAACTAATTCACATCGCCAATTACTTTAGGCTTCCATTCAGTACTATTTGACCTACTGTAAGTATCCAAGGATGCCAGGTAAGATACTTCTTACATTTGATTCATCAAAGCTTCGTAACTATTAATACAATCATGATTAAAAACTTAGGGAATGATAACCACACACCCTTTTTCTTCCCGTACATACCCGTCTAATTCTGTCCATTGCTTCTGTTTAATTTATTCAATCCGTATGCCAGAAACAAAGAGAGGCACATAGGAAGAGAAAAATGGTGTGGCTATTCCCAAAACTTATAGCAATTTTTCCCCTATTGCTTTTTGGAAGTAATTCCTATTTCTAAATTTCTGTACCTTGTGAGGAGGAGTTCCTGGTCTTAACATGTTTATCCCAAGCTTTCCCTTCTTCTCAGATGCTTTCAAAATCTGGAAGGAACATGTCAATGTATCATCTACACTCATCATGGCACCAGCATTATCAAACTCCCCACAGTAATTTGGAGCTGAAAATATGGTTACCAGCTTCCTTTTTCCAAAAAACTCATATCCATCTTCCACAACCTGATAAATGAAACCCAAGAAATTTTATAAGAAATGGACAAACATTGAGAGACTCTACTAATAAAATTCAGTTTGCATCTCAGACCAGGCAAAAACATGTTCACAACTAATCATATAAAGAATTTCACTCCAGCATCAATTGAAAGAGAGTATCCAATCAATTAAATGAGTACGTGGCGGAACAGGTGAAACACAAGAAGTCCTCCTGTGAATAAATTTTTCAAGTGTGCAGCTATTTATTGAAAAATTTATACATGCGCCCAGAATCTCAACACGGCACATGGCATACTAGCATTCGATACCAATGCACCATTAGGGTAACAACCCAATGGACATGCCACAATGACAATGTAGATGATGAGTAGTGGAATGAATATGACAAGGAGTGGAAATCGACCCATAAAAACAGATAAATCATGCAAACACGCACATAATCTCTAATTATAACTTACTCCGTGTGCTTTTACATGTTCACCAAATTCGAAAGATGAAATTTTAAATAAAGTTACTTCAAAATTATCATCCATATTACTGTCATGACAAGTTTAACAGTACAATAAAAGTGATTATTTGAAGATGCATCACATGAGGCCAAATTTTTAAGTTCCCAGACTTTGTGTATACTTGAGCAGTATAAAAAAGAAAAAACAAAAAGAGAGAAAATAACTTCATAGCACCTGATGAGCACGGCAAATAAGATCTAGGTCATGTTTCTGGAGAAATTCAGCAACCATGTCAGCCCCAAATGTATATGACACGCCACGATCATTCTCTCCCCAACCTTCAACATCTTTATCAGGATCAGCCCATAATAGATCACAGAGAAGGCCCTGATCTGGCACATCCGCTGGCCGTGCAATATTCCTAATCTGATCTAAGTGTTTCAAATCAGGAGATAGACCGCCATGCATGCAAAGGATCTTCTCATCAATAAGAGCAGCAACAGGAAGACAGTTGAAGCAGTCAGTAAATGTCTTCCATATACGAACATTAAATCTTTTCTTGCACTCATCATAGAATCCATAGATCCGGTTGATGGAAGCGCATTCATGGTTGCCTCTGAGGAGAAAGAAGTTCTCCTTGTATTTGATCTTGTATGCAAGGAGAAGGCATATTGTCTCTATGCTCTGCTTACCACGATCAACATAGTCTCCTAGGAATAAATAATTGGCTTGCGGTGGGTACCCACCATACTCAAACAGTCGCAAAAGATCTGAAAACTGACCGTGAACATCTCCTGTGAAACAAAGAGGGAAGATGAGCATTGTCATCTTAGTAATCAACAGAAATTTCACATGTTTTTAATTTAGGAAACCATTATAAAAAAATAAAATAAAAACTAATATACATCTTCATTGTAGATTCAATTCGAAATTGGTCTTTGATATTTATTTAAAACAAGATCCTTTCACCGTGATCGACAGAAACGGATTTGCTTCCATTTCATAAAGACAAGAGTGAAGATGAGAATGCAAACCAAATAAAGATTGGTGGTCATGAGTATAAAATTACTTAACAACTGAAATTCCTTAGAAGTCACGGTGCTAAATGGTGGAAAGTGAAAGGAACCTAATAAACAAAAAAGTGGAGTCCAAAAGCTATGCCTGCCCTCCGCATCGAATAAATAGAAGCTATATGTGCTATTTTGTGCGCTATAACAATTCGAGTGAGACGTAACACTACAAGACTGGCATACTACAAAAACACAAGAAAATTTAACCGACATTCAAGTTGTATATGCCAGTGTAATAAATGAGGATCAAATATAACGGCTAATGCATGGTAACATCAACTTTCGACATTTACCCGCGGGGTTGGGGGAGGGGGGGGCATCAAATTTTGACTACATTCATGGGTCAATCTCCACCTCAAAAAAGGGTACTCTCATTCGTCACAATGACGAACTTCAATGGCTATCCACCAAATCCAACTTCAGAGAATGCCTACTTACACAAAGCACACATGGAACTAGAGACGCAAAAATTGATGCCTGTCTAATGTAAAAGTAGTAAAAAAGCACAATACAGCCACATCATAGACACTAGTCCTGGATGACCTAAGAACTATTCTTCAGAGTAAGAAGCCTATTTAACGCACCAACAGGCAACCACGCCAAAACAAAAGACAAAGGACAAGCTAATGAATTACTGAAAGGCTCATACAAAACCTCATACTGCAATGCTCAAAAGTTGTCACATAACCCTGCCAAAGTCGCAAAAATTTCTAATGAAAAGCTACATTAAATCCTCTGACCATCAACTTTACTTCACAAGAAAAAACCAGTAATAATCCAAAATGTGCTAAATCACTTTCCACTTTGCAATATATATATAACATATATATGTATATATGAAATTTCACCCATACAGCTAACAGATTAATACATATGGATATAGTAACCCTTTTACTGGTAATTGACCCTTCTGCTCTAATCAAATGAACCATAACCTGAAAAAATAAACTCATTTTCTTTCCAACAAATTACACAAACCAGACATACAAAATTCCAATTTCCAACCATCAAACCCTTTTTATATTTGCAAATTACCCACATTACTCTTTCACACAACCAAGTCCAAATTCAACACATAAACATGCAAACAAAGTCAAAGAAGCAACTTTTCAATTCATCCGAAACGAAAAACCAAAACTTTCAATCCACAAATCAATTAAAAACCCTAGTCCTTTACCACAAATCTTAATTGGAGCTTCAAGCTCCAGAAGATTCGGCTGACTAAGAAAGATTTCCTTGGAGGCAGAGCAAAGCTGCCGTATTTCAGCTTCCGTCAGTTGCACCTGTTTGGTGGTCCGGCCATTCTTCGCAGCCACAAGCTTTCGTATAAGATCGTCAACAATACTCTCGTCCATCACAGCAAGTCTTCTCTACCCACCCACAAATCGCACCCAGAAAAAAAAAACCCAATAAAGCAAACGGACCCAGAATACCAAAACCCTAGCTCTCGGGTGAGGTGAAAAATGAGGGGAGATCCGAGAGAGAGAATCAGAAGAACAAGAAGAGTGTCGAAATCACAAGGAGAGATATTGGGAAATAATATCTAGGGATTTACATGTTGGAGAAGATGTGGTGGAGGTGTGCGTGGCGGCCATTTTCGGCTGGTAAAATGACGCAGAGAGGTGAGAGAGAGAGAGAGAGGAGAGAGTTGAGAAGTAAGTCCGAGTTGGGGTTTGGGGGAGGACATGGCGGGTATTTTATTATTATTTTATTTTTGCATAGTTTGGTGGGTTTTTGAAATCATACATCTATTTTTTATTTTATTTTATTTTATTAAACGATATATCTTTATTTTATTAAACAATATATTTTGTTGGATTAAATTAGACGTTAGATTAATCACTGACGAGATTCGAACTCGCACTGTTATATAAGAACTCAACTGCTTTCCACTACTATAGTAAATGCCACTTGCCTATTTTATTTTTTCATACCAGTGATATTTGAGAAGTGTCTAAAAATTTTGACCATTAGATTCCTATTCATTGCATCCTTAAAAACGCAAATTTAATGATCTGTGTGTACCATTGCGAGTCATAAAGAAATCAAAATTCAAGAATGTGGTGTGTTATGATAAGTATTTTTAACCACTTCTAATGTGATGCCATAAATTATGTAGAAAGATTATTATCTTTATGAATTGTGATTTGGTTACAATTATGAGACTCGAATTCGTAATGCCAAGAATTTTTTGTTTCCTATATTTCGATCTTATTTGAATTTTCTTGCTAATTATGATCTAGAGAATTAACTCAACAAAGTGGTATATTCGATTTTTCACCCGCTATATATGCAATTTTCGTAAATATTTACACTACTAAATATGTGAAGAAATATGTCACATGGCTGGAATTAGTAAGACATTCGATTTCCGATTACGTTATCCTGATATTTGCGTGACATGCTAATGTAATTTCCTTTTATAAAATGATGCGTGCACATTGAATAATAATGACTCGTATTTCAAATCTTAAAATTCCAACTAATGCGACAATGTTATAAATAAGTCAAAGTTAGAGAGATAACCTTTTTAATGGTAGGTGCGAGGTAGATGTAATATGTCACACTAAAATATATCACAAGATGATAACAAATAAAAACAGAGGAATAGATGATGTTACTGATCTTTTTCTCTCGTTCTCTTCCTCTTAAATTTTATGTAACTTAAAAACATACGGAGTGCTCTATTTATAGAGCAACTCCAAACTGATTCATTAACTGCTTATTGAAGTTTACGACTCTTCCTTTGACAATACAATCTCTTTGTATTTACATATTCAACTTTCACTCTGCATGGGCATTGAAAACTTCTGCCCATGCTGAAAAATTCAGCTAATGAACTGTGGGCATTCATTACCCACCAGACTTTTCAACAAACAACAAGTTTTTTTGTTTATATTTTGCTTGCTCAATGATTGACTTTCATTTTCCTTTTGCATAGTTGCTTCATTATCTATTTTAAAGTTTGAGAAGAGTGTGTTTGTAGCTTAATTACAGTCTCAATCCGACGAGTGAACATCATAAAGAAGATAGAAGTAGAAAAAAATGAATAAGATGAAAATAGAGTTTTGCCGGAGTGTTGGGTGTCACACCAGAGTGATAGTTAAGGTAAATTTTATTTTTTGTTACTGTATAATGTTACACTATATTTGGATTAGGGAAATAAACATAAAATTTTGGTAAAAGTCAGAATTTATAAATTGACAGGCACCAATTCTCTTGTTTGGATTCATAAACATAGAAATTTAAAATTTCCGCATGGAAAAAAAACTTGGAATTTGGGACCTCCAAATCTCAAATTCAAATTTTATGTAAATAAGTGTCATTTCTCAATTTCTATGCTTGAGAGTTTAAAAATAACAAATTCCGTATTCAATTTTAGGGGTGGGCACGGTACGGTTCGGTACGGTTCCACCCCTAAATTGGAACCGAAACCGAAATATATTAATGGTTCGATTCGGTGCGGTTCCACTTAAATTTATTACTAGAACATTACGGTTCGGTCTACACCGGTTCCGATTCGATTCTTGCCGGTTTACGGTTCCTAATAATAAATTATTTGAACACCAAATCATTATGCATTCAAATACATCTTCTAAAACTGATTACATAAAGTTGCATACAACACATCTTTTTTAATGCAAATGTCTTTGTTAGTGGCACCAAGTCAACAAAAAGAGACAACTAAAATACATATGCACTGGTCAATCAGTCAACAAACAAAAAAATGATGAAGCAAATTGCAGGTTTTCAGACTTCAGAGAGCAAGCAAGAAGCAGCAGCTCTTGTACACAATTTTTCAACCTATTATACCATGACATGTGTGTATATATATAATTTATTTATTTATTATTAATAAAACGGTTCGGTTCGGTTCGGCCGGTTCTTGGTCATTCGAAACCGGAACCGGAACCAGTTTGAAAGGTTCGATTCGGTTTTTCACTCAAAGTTGACTTTTCTGGTCAACACGGTTTTTTTCGGGTTTTTTTCTTACGGTTCGATGCGGTTTTGCGGTTTGGCGGTTTTTATGCCCACCCCTATTCAATTTCATTGTTTTTTTAGGTTAACCAAACAAGAAAATTTACAAATTTTAGAAAATAAAATCTCGTTATTTCAATTTCCGTCATTTTTAAATTCCTTATTAATCTTAAATTTCTTCATCCAAACATAGTGTTAGTGAGTATTAGTGAAGGAGGAATAGGGGGTTCTTTTATTGGTTGTCAAATTTTTAATAGTAAATTTGTTCATTCATGCCACGTAAAAAAATTAACAGATTTAATGATAAAGTTTCAAAAAATAAAAAATAAAACGAAAATTGAGTTTCAAAAATTAAAATAGCACAATTTGAATAAGAAAAGAAGAAAATAAGCTTAAAATGGAATTTCATCAGACTTTTTGCTTTTCCTTTTCCATTTTCCACTTGACTTGACTTACCACCAACTCTACACATGCTTCTCTCTCATTGGTGCTCCCTTTGGATATGCCACCGCAAGCAATCCCCAATTTTCTCATGTAATTTGGATTGGATAATGCCACGTCATAAAAATAACCCCATACCCAACAACAAAGCATGTGTATTTTTTTTTTAGTACATTGATATTTTTACAATAGGAGAAAAGGAAAACAAAAGACTGGTGTTTTGAATCACCATCGTTATGTGTGCATTTTTTTCTCATCACTTCTGTTCATCATACACCTTATTATCTGATACGTGTTCTTTTAATTAACTACTAGCATATGGCACACTCAAAGTGTGTGAGATTTTTTTTTTATTTTTGTTTTTGAAATAGAAAGAGAGAGGAAGAGAGTGATAGATAATGTAGGAGTGGGAGATGTGTTTTTATTTTTTATTTTTTATATGTTAGGATTACTTGTAAATGAGGTTTTGAAAAAAAAAAGTAAAATTTGGTTGTGTGAAATTACATTTATGTCCCATATTTCTTATTCATGTTATGTTTTAATTAGAGAGGTAAATTAGTAGAGATAATTAATTTTTTTTTTATCAAAATTAGAAAATAAATATTTAAAATTAAAATAAATCATAATTAATTGAAAAGATACGTGGCAGAGAATGAGACGTCTAAATAAACATACATCATAATATTATGATAATGAGCAAAAGTGGTTGCCCGACGCTAGCCTTACCGGAATATTCCCCATTCACTTCCCGTTACCAAGCACACCTCACCCTTTCCCGAAAACTATAAATACTTCTCTTTCTTCACTCTTTCCTGTTCTTGCCCTAGCCTGGAAACCCCCATTTCGCCGCAACGTCCCCAATTTTCTCTCTCTTTCTCTCACTTTCTCGCACCAAATCCACAATTTCCGGCACATTTTCCCGAGAAAATTCGCCCAAATGGTCCTTCCCAGATCACTTTAGCTGATTCCTCCTCCTTATGGATCGCAGGGCGGTGTTCGGCGACTCCTGCTGTGAATCTATCGGCTGAGTCTTGTAAATTTATCGGTTGAGTGTTTAGGCGATGGAAGCGGTGGACTTGAGTTTTCCCGTGGATGTAGCCACCGTGCCGAAGTTTTTGGGTGTGGAGGCGCTTGTGAGAGCTGGGGTTACAGTCAAGGAGCTAGAACCTTGTGATTCGGACCGCGTTTCGGTTCGAGTTACCTCATACACCGAGGTTTGCAGCTCATCGTTGAGGGATAAAGGTGGTTTCTTGGCCTGTTTTCTTAGTTTTATTTGACATTTGAATTGTGGGTTTTATGTTTCTCTCTTGCTTTTAGTTGTATATTCACAAATTTAAGTTTTGAGGTTTGCTGTGATGGTTAGTTTTCGGAATTGCAGCTCATTATATTTCCCAATTTAAGCATTTCCTTTGATTTTCCTTGTTTATTTGTTACTTGTCTCCAATATTTGTAGTTTAGTTTTAGTCTAGTTTTCTTTCTAGGATTTCTTCATCTGGTTGTGTATATCGTTTTGTTACTGAAAAGTTTCGTAATTTTATGTACTGGGGAATGGTTATGTTCTCAGAGGTAACGAATGTGGTTAGTACTTCAGAGAATGAACCAATTAAGCTCGGTGATATGATGTGCCGGGGCAGCTATCAGGGTGAAGAATTGTCCAGGCATCTACATGGCAGGGGAAAAAATGGTTTTTTGTTGGATACTGGTGCTGATAGTGTACAGTTAGAACGGAAACCAGGAAAGTTGTCAAAATTGGGCAGTTTATCTAAGAGACCACGTGTTGCTCGATTTGAAGATCCAACGAGCCTTGTTGAAGTTGATGGGATAAAGGATATGTCATATAAGCTTGGATCTTTACTTATAAAGTGTGGTTCATCAGGTAATATATGTTTCTTTTGGAGCTGTGAATTAGTTATTTGACGTAAATGCTTGTTTATTATCATCAGGATTCCAAATTAAAAAAACTGACCCGGGAAAGTCTTTTAAGATGGCAGATGCCATCTGTGGTTTATTCACATGTGAAATTTTAATTGGTCTGTATTTATTAGTCACTTAAATGTTAGATTAGTAATTTTTCGCCTATTGTGTTTTTTATTTTCTCTGGAGTTGTTTAATGCGGCGAATGTAAAATTTTCTTGGCTGGAAAGTCCACTTTATTGTCACAGTTCTTGATGTTGGGGAAAATTAAGATTCCCGGACAGCTCCTACTGCTGTTGGCCACATCAACATCATCTAGCTATTGTCAGTCTGTTGCTTAACATCAGAGTATTATGGTGAGGTAAATATTTTTCTTAGTGAAGCATAGGTAACGGAGATTCCGGAATGAAAATATTGCATGAGGATAATATTCCAATACTAAAACTGTCCAAACCCACTCAAAATATTTACTGTCAACAATATATATATTATTAACCAAACCTCTTGTCAATTTCCCATGTAAGCTCGTAGGTGTGTGATATTTTGATAACCAATTATATACAAGCTCTGGATGTAGAGGCATTTTTTCCTATTTAAAAATATTGTTAAACATTAGCGGTTATTTAGCACATGGATCATTTTGACGTTTGTTCAATAGCTGAACTGAAACGTTTTTAACTTCTGAACCTTCGCAATGGAACTTTAAAAGGTAATCGAAGGAATAGAAATTACGATATTTCCTTCCGATGACTGAGGATGCAATATTGTCTGAGACTTTTTCAAGCAAATTAGAATGCTGTGGAATTACATTTTCTGGGTCCATAATCTTCTTTCTGCATATTCTTTTATTCCTTAAAGTTTAATTGATGTACCAGTTCTCATTCTTTGAGAGTAAAAAATTTATGCCCGGCTAGTTTCTTTAGGCCTCATTTAATCACTAGCTTTGGATTGCGATGGACAACCCAATATATTCATGGTACGTTGAAGGAACAAATGAAATAAGTTTCCTTCGTGTCAGATCTCCTTCTAATCCTCCCAAATGTGGCCTTTGGGTGCTAGTTCTACGTGTCCATTGTATCTTCCAGGACTTTTCTTCTTTTATATTAACTGTTAATTTTATTTGAGTGGTTCGAAATTTTAAACCTTAACTTGCAAGTGATGTCTCCAAAATGCATGCTTTGATTTTCTATGGCCATAATGCTATACTTAACCACACTGCGTGTCCCATTAAATGTGTTGGATTTTCCTTTTCATGGATTTTAAGGGTTTCTGCTGAGAGCTATTCTGTTCCTTTCTGTGTTATACATTCCAGATAAGACTCAGTTGGTGAAACAAAAGAACAACTCTACAAGCAAGCGAGGTGAAAAGAGAAATCTCAAACTTCCTGCAAAGACTAAACACGACTCCTTCTCTGTAAAGCCTGGTTTGGCAAGCTTCAGTTCAGCTGCTGGTGGAAACAACTTTTATGGTATGACATTCCACAAAAGCCAAATTCCTTCCTTCAATGTATCATGACCTCCTTAAAGGAGTGTATTTGTTCCATTATTACCGGACTATCAATGTGCATACTGTGCAAAAATTAAATTGTAATTTAAATGAATGTCAGGAGTACATGGCCTTAAGTCAGATAATCATGATGTTACACAGCTGGTAGACGATGTGCCACTGAATGATCTCCTTGATGGGACATACAAGTGTCCTAGCTTAGGCAGGGGAAAAGGGAAGAGACCAGCAAATGTGAATGATAGTTTTCTGCATGCAGTTAAAAAGGCTTGTTCTACCCTTCAGCAACCGAGGTCTGTTCAGCCCCAACTTAATGCTGAAGTAGACAGCAATCCTGACAAGATAATGTCGCCATGGCTGTTATGCACAACTTCTGTTGTAGCTTCTGGTGTCGATAGTGATAAAGGAGAGCCATTCATCACAGGTTTGTCTTCATGTAATGAGGTCAGTGATCAGTGGTAATGGAAGATTTATTAGCCCTGGAGAAAACTTTCATTTTTTTAACCTGTTTGATTAAACTAGAAGTTTAAGGATTACGTGGCAAATCATGCAAAAGGTATTCTTCAGGGTAATGATTATTTGGATTGGTCTTGTGAATCCAGTATAGACATGCTGCTGGACCTAACTGGAGTTTGGGTTCCTTGTGTGAGCATTTGCACACTTTAGTTATTAGTCTTAGGCTCCACTCACAAGGATTTTAATTCTGTTGTCCAGCTGCTAGAGTTTATTTCAATCATATTATTAGTGATGAAACTACTAATGATTGATGATGTACGTTTCTTTTTTGTAGGTACAGGATTCACATAGAAAGCCTGACGCTCCTGCTAATCCCCTTGATTTGCCATTGTGTCAACCTAAGTATGTCTTGGAACGCTTGGGCCTTCCTCCACCCAAGGATTTGGAATCTTTGCTTTTGGATGCTGCAAAACCTGCTTCATCTTCAAGAAATACTCCTGATCCATGTTCGGGCAGACAAATATCTCGCCGAGCAAGCTTGCCTCCTTTTTCATGGTCACATACTTCTAATGGGCACTGTAGAACCAGTTCCGATGCGGCCAAACAGTCCACAAGCAGGGGTACATGCCAAGGCCGATGGCTAAGAATAGAGAGGAATATTCTTAGTTCATTGTGGGTTGCCACTAGTAATTTGACAGACTTGGAGTCACTCAGCTATAATCAAAGTCTAGTTCCTTCTGCAAGGCTAAAAGTGGCTGGTTCCCACGATAAAGTTTGCCCATCCATATCTGTTAGTCTTCCTCTGTGTCAACAAGATTCGTTATCTAACGCAACATGTCTGAAAGATTCCTACATTCCGCAAGGTAATTTATTTACATTTTGTTTCTCCAAGGGGAATGCCGGCATGAGTTTGAGTTATATACTAAAACTTCAATAAGTTACATTGGTTGCTGGAAATATTTACCATCTCTATCAGTCCTACTTGGGACATTGCCTTTTATAAGTTTTGGAAATGTTATCAGTCCCACTACTTGGGACATTGCCTTTAATAAATTTTTGTTCTGTTGGAAATGCAGAATCTGGAGGCAAGCTGAAGCAGATGGGAGATTGTAACGGTACAGCTTCCTCTTTGTAGCCTCTCTTTATGCTTCTTGTATGTATGGTGTAATGCATGTGTTTGGGGCTTGGGTTGGTGGAGTGATATGCATAAAGGAGGTATCGAGGAAGATGACAAAGAATGACAATTGAATATTGGCACTAAAATTCATTCCCAAGAGGCCTACCTTGGGTTATACCAAGTCACAGGAGCAAACTGAGTAGATATCTCATCCTTGTAGTATAACGTGATCTAGCTGAGGCGTAGATTAGCTCTTTGGCTGATATTTTCCCAATTAAGTGTCATGAGATGTGCCAAACAATGCATAATATATGCTTGAAATGGAAAAGTAAATAAATCTGATAGGCTAAAGCCTCGTTAGGAAATAGGAACTGAATGTCAGGTCCATCAATTGCACAATTATGTATTTTATCATTCTTGGCTTAAAAAAGAATTTAGCCGTATCCTACTCTGTGTGCACTTCATTTCTATTTTCTGCTTCTGCAGCTTTGCTTTTGTGCTTTTCTTAGTGAGATGCTTTTTGTTTGTTCAGATGGGCATTGTCCAAAAGTATTAAGTGCTGCTCGAACACTTTGTGACATGGCAACTCGTCCCTCAAGGAAAAATCCAGATGGAATCATAAGGTGGCCAAAGAAGCCTTCGCAAAAAGCCATGAAAGCTCGGAAGTTGAAATCAATTGAGAAACCTGAAGAAGCATATGGAACATCAGTTGCAGTATCTGGGTCCGACAATCCTGGGAGAAGCGTGGATCGGATGCTGCCTCCAAAGAAGCCCAAGCTCTCCTTGAATGATGATAAAAGGGATTTCAATAATTTTAGTTCTGTAAGGAAAGGACCAATAAATTGGTCTACGCCCAGATCAAGTAGGTCATCACCTAGCAGATCAATTAAGGGGTCAATTGTGGACATTAGACATTCGACAGCGGATGTAGTAAAGCATTCCTATATGATGCCACCACCAGGTCGGGTTCCAGCAAAGACTTCAAACAGACAAGCGAAGCAAGGAAAGTTATTGGTAACGGAATGGAACCGAGGAAGGGACCGGCTAGACTGATGAGTATCGGCCTCAATCGGGTTTAAGATTTATTCCTACTGACAAGGTTCGTCATTTAACCTGATGTCTCTGAGGATTTATTGGAAATAGTTGATTTGTACATATCATGCCCTAGGTGGAATAGGGAAAGGTTGCAAGGGTTTAGTTTTAGGAGGAGGATGAATAGGAATTTTATGTCGTAACAAAGAATACCACTAGACTGTAGTACTAAGTGGCAAGTTTTAATTCGATGTTAGATATTGTGACAACGGAGAAAAACATGTGTGGGGCTCGGCTTGCCACTGGATTATGCTGAGCGACATTACAATCCATTCAAAACTTGTCATTTGTTAGAATAAAAGTTTTAGAATGTTAACATAAAAACCTAGCTAAAAAGATTATTCAAAACTAAAACAGAAAATAGAAAAATAAACGCATACCCCATCACCAGTACATGTCCACGGCAATCCAACTACCAAACCTCTCCCATTCCATCGGAATCGTACCTGTATTGTTCTTATTTTTTGCTCTCTCGCCATTCATTTATGGTCTTCCTTCAATTCGTAGAAGGCTTCTATTGACCTGTACACTCCTTGAAAAAAAAATGGACTTCTTTAATAATGGGGCAAGAGTTCTCTGAATCTATCTTTTAATCCCCTCTTTTTCTTCAGCCACTATGTATTGCTTGCTTCCCATGATCTGCAGTTGCAGACAACCCATGAAAATACACTATTGATATATATATATAGAGGAAGCTTTTAAGGGAAGGGATCCTCATTTAAAAAAAAAAAAATGAGAATATCCTCTCGACCGTTAGATTTGACTTTAATGAAATCATATGGTTGAGATTCTGTGGCCTGTGATTTAATTTCAACCACATAATTTCATTAAAGTCAAATCTAACGGTCAAGAGGGGTATCCCCATTTTTTTTTTAAAAATGAGGATCCGTTCCCTTAAAGGGTCTGTATAAATATATATATATATATATATATATATATATATATATATATATATCTATATCTAGGTATGTGAGTATTAATGGATTTAAATGATGGGGTAGGTTGGTGAGGACGAGGGGAGGGATGAGGTGCACTTGAAAAGTCTTTTTACTTTTGGTTTTCCATTTTAATTAACTAATCAATTACATAATAATTTTTTTTTAATTTCTCAAGAAACAATTAAACTTAATAAGGACAGTCATTCGTCGGTTTGGTTTAACATATGGCAAGTTATAAATAGATAATAGTGCCACTCAACATGATCTAGTGGCAAGTTGAGTCCTAAACAAATATTTCTCTTTAGTTTTTGGTTAGAGGGCCTCATGAAACTAGAATCAGTATCATTTTTAGTTCCTTATCTGATGTGCAAAATTTCTCCAAATAGGAAAAGTGTGTTTCAATCTGCATTTGCATTTTCATTTAAAATTTGTATTTATCTTTAACAAAGTTGTTTGCTTGCAATCAAGGACACGGATGGGCGCGGGTGGTTGGGTCCATTTTTGGTGGATTCGGACTCGAACTTGTTTTTTTATGAACGAGTCCGAGCTGGTTTTGGGTTTATTTATTTTATTGGTGGAATTGGCGCATTTGGATCTGTTTGATAAGGTCGAATTCTTATGGGTCAAACAGATCTGTTTTCAATTATATGTCGTATAACAAAACAAAAATATAAGGGTTAATCTCAGTTTACTACCCTTAAGTTTCGTGGTTTTCAACATTTGGTACACGAAGTTTTTTTTCGTCCCAGAGTTATACCTAAAGTGTTAATTTTGGGATAGTCTCATACATTCGTTAGTCTAGCTGTTAAGTCTCTTGTTAACTGATGATGTGGTGCCCATGTGGACAATGATTGGACGCCACGTGGTATTAAAAAAATAAAAAAAGTAAACCTTCTTCTTCGACTACCCCTTTCTATCTCCACCATACCTCTCCTAACCCCCACCCTTCTTTTCCTCCTCCTTATCTTGCACCCCAACCCACCATGTCCTCACCCATCGAACCCAAATCCCCAAAGTTCCCACTGCCCTCAACACCAAATTAGACCCAGGCACCAATTCCCGATCCAGTTGAAGTTTTTGCTCCAGACCTTGGACCAGCGGACTCTCCACCACCATGAAAACATGAAAGTTGTAGATGCAGCGTGACTGGGTTTTGTTTTGGCATCGTGATAAGGATCTCCAGCAGCCGATCTTTGATGTGAGATGCATGCAACGGCCTTGGATCTCCGACAGCCATGACCTCGAAAGGGTGGTAGTCGGCGTTTGTTGCAGTTGGGGTAATAGTCGGCGTCGCATCCTCTTTCTCTCCGCCAGTGTCCTCTCCAACTCCATCGCTGTAATCAGCTGCCGATTCGCCTTTTCATTGGCTTGGCTGCTTTGCAGCGTGGGCTGCAGATTAGGTCGTGCACCAAGTGGACGAGGCTTGAGCCTGCACTGTTTGGGCAGCGGCTTGGGCTGCTTTTAGCACCTGGGCTTGTTGCTGCAAAGTGGCTTGGGCTTAGGCTTGTGGCTGCCTCGCTACTCGCTGCTCATTGTGGGCTTACTGCCATGGAGCTAGCCCACTCCCCACTGCCACGGTGGTCCCTATGGCTGCCATGGTGGTGGTGCTCCGTGGTGGCAAAGTTGATCATCTTGCCATCACTTTGGGCCTCGTGGATCGTCGTGGTGGGGCTACGTCTTGTCCTCCATCATTTGATCTAGATCTTTGGAACGTAGGAAGTTTCGTTCGTCGTGGTTTCCGAATTTTCCGTCATTGTATTTTTTCCTCACCTCTATTCAAAGAATTAAAAAAAAATCTAGTATAAAGAAAGTATGAAAAATTTACGAACAAACGAGAAACAAGAAACTTTGAATGCGAGAGTCTTCTAAGAACGTGTGAATTAAACTCTCAATGAAAGCACTAATAAGGACAAGAGTCTCACGTGCCCACAATGAATGCGGGGAGGGGCTTTAGCCGAAGAACCTCCGATGCCAAAGTTAGAATTTTGAGAGAAAAATGTTTGCAGAATTTTGAGAGTATAGCAAGAGAATTGGAATTTGGTTTTGGAGAGAATGAGGTAGTATTTATAGGGTGTGGCCAGCCCCTTTAGGAGGAGGACGACCGGCCACTTGATTGGTATTTTGGGTGAGGTTCATGATTTGTAGCTAATTAGGAATAATTGAATAATAAATCAATTAATTAGCTAATTAATAGAATAATTTCCTAATTGATTAGCTAATTAATATAATAAAATAGGAATGATTTGGGAGTTATCTTGTGGAGAGGATTGGATGAGGATGGATGAAATATGTTTTGAATTATTACCTATTTTGGGCATTTTTAACTTGGTTGAGGGATGATTGCCCACTGCTCGCGCATAAGAATCTCAGTGTGCCTCGAGGGTAATTTTGTCCTTTTCACTCAAAAATCCACATGTTGCCTTATGCTTATTTTTGGCTCCACAACACCCAATAATTGTCCACATGGGCGCCACATCATTAGTTAATTGGAGACTTAACAACCAGACTAATGGATGTATGAGATTGTCCCAAAATTAACACTTTAGGTATGACTCTGGAATGAAAAAAACTTCATATACCAAATGTTGAAAACCACGAAACTTGAGGGTAGTAAACTGAGATTTACCCAAAATATAAACAATCTCTGTGTTTCGGTTATAAATGAATTACGTCTAACAAAGTCAATGCCAACAAATTTTCCTAGGGCATTGAATGGACTCTTAAGACTCTTTGTTTGAAGAAGTTTGATCGTAGTTTTACTTCTTAGGGTTTGATGGTTGTTTTACTTCTTCTTAGGGTTAGATATAGATGAAATTACGGATCATAGGCTTCATTGTAAACTATTAATAAAATAACAAGTGCTAAGACAACATTTAAACGATTAGGGCTAGGTCACCAAAATAAAAATAAAAATATGGACTTAGTTTTGGACTCGTATTTACACAAGCCTAGCCCAATTGAGACTATTTTGAAAATTAAAAGTAATAACTAGATAGTTTCATATCGGGTCGGTAATACGGTCTAGATCTACGAGTCTAAATACCGGTATACCAACCTCTAATCAGGATGACATGAAAAGAAAAAAAGGATGACAACTTTTTAACTAGCCTCTGAATTGGGGTTTTAACTTTGTTTTTGGTAACTAGTTGAGGGGCTCATCAAACATTCTTCTATAATGATGAGACCGGCTAACTTTGAAGTCTCTATTTATGGTCATTTTTGCAAAATATTAGTGAATTTGGAAATGATTGAGGCTTCTAATTGTGATAAAAAAAATTGACAGTCATAGTGTTCTAATAAAAATTGAAATTCCGTAACGAGAGTTAAATGGATGAATAGTTTTAATTGAAATGATTTTTTCTTAAACAACCTAAAACTATATATAATGACTAATGAGTGGTAAATTTTTTAAAACAAGTGATATTACTATTTTAATTACCTTAGAGGGAGGGGACGTTTTGAACACAAAACAATACGTTGAAGAACATATCCTAACCAGCAGAAATATCCAACACTTACCTGATAAGTAATACATTCAATTTAAAGATCATACATATTCAGGCTTGAGTTGGCAAACCATTAAAACAATATTTGTAATTTAACAACATAAAATTCTAATATGCATGGGGATATGGATAATGGGTTCCCAAAAAGTTTTATCATGCCAAATAGTAATTGTCGGTCGTTGATTCTTTTTCAGTGGTTGTTCCTATTCATATTTTGACAACATATATACCAGCTCATTACAAGAGATCATCTTACGATTAAACTATAATTTATTAGATCATACTTGCACCCTCAGTGGTGGAATGCAAATATCACATCTCCTGTGAATTAATGTTCAGTATAGATTTTATATTCGAAATTTTATTCAGTTTCTTAGTCTTCGTTCGAAGATCATATCTATAAAAAGATATGTTAGAATCGGGAATTGTTTTGTCATTCAAATGTATATTTGTTGATTCTAAAAACTACCAAGCCTACATGACGCACAGGCCAAGTAACTAATGAGCTAACTACGTCATTCGGTTGATGCGGGGCGTGCCAACTTGTCGGCCGAGCTCGGCCGAGGAGTAAAATTTGTTGATGTTGCATTGAGTGCGTTGCTAACTTCTTGATCTTGCGACTGTGGCTGAGGAAGGAACACGTCTCGGCCATTGGGTTCTAGAGCCTGAAGACAAGGCTGCTAGTTCTGCGAAGTTCACGAACCGTCGACGCCGGGTTCGGTTATGGTGATTATATTCATAAGAGTATAAGCACGTCGAACTGGCTCCCAATTATACGGACACAGGTACTCAAAAGAGATGTACATCTTGATGGTAAATGTGGTTCGGCCGTTAGAATGCCGAACTCTGAAACTCACTTGTGAGTATCCAATTATAAATTCACTCGGTGTTCAATGTATCGAATGTAGTAACTTGTAACACCTCACTTCGCCGAGAAGGCTAGTGAGATGACCTCTGCCAATAAGGATTCAAAAACCCTTCTCGACATAGACTTGGATAGGTAACCAATCGGCCTTGATGCAGTGTTGTTTATCCAAATTGAAGGTGCTCCTCGGTCGGCTGATTCTACGGCAACAGTGTTGTTTATCTAAACTGAAGATGTTCGCTGGTTGCCTTCACAGTGCTGCTTATCCAAACTGAAGATGTGTTGGCGGAAAAAGAAAAAAAAAAAAATCTCAAAGTCTTTGAGAGGTTTGCGCAGAGCAATTTATGTGTTGAATTGGAGGAGGCTTTGAATGGTGCACTCTGCTCTCTATTTATAGCAACAAATCCTCCTTACGATCGAGTTAAAACCATACTCGGATCCAAACTTCTTATTCTGATCTAGCCTTATCTCGACCAATCCTACTCCTATTAGGACTTTGAACTCAACCCCCTTTTCAGGCCGCATTCATTTATAGGCTTAAATGCCCTCATCTGGCTAAGAATCCTCATTGCATTAGGACTCCTTATCATACTAGGACTTCAACCCATCTGCTCTTATCCAAATCACTCATTCTTGCAATAGGACTTGACCGCCCTAACTGAGCGGCTTATAACCACCAGACAACCCATAGTACATTTGAAAAAGCTTTGGGCCGAACATAAACCTACGCTCGGCCCAATTATATTATTTTGGGCCCAAACAATATTATAATTGAATGCTTTATCATGAATATGTTGTACAACGTCGATTTGTTTCACACAAATGATGGCTAAATAATCTTCGATTTCAAATGAATTTTTCTACGTATGATCTTTACATGAAAATTAAAAAGCTAAACGAAACAGATTATAACATTTATAAGATGAAAATATTTTACTCACGATGAGTGGGATATGTGCATTCCATATTATCCTTATTTGTTGAGATCTCTTCAGTAGTAATTGACATAAGGACTTGTATGGAAAACCATATTTCGTCCAACATAAATACATATCAATGAATTGATAGAAAATAAACCTAAGAAAACAACTGATCTAATACTAATACAAGAGCCATTGCAAGTCCAGAATCAAAGCCAGAATGCACAATTAAATGAAAAACATCTAATCCATAAGAAACACCTCCAATATTTGGTTCCTTTCTCTTGATCTCAGCTACCACATTCCTCGACTCATCTAATACCTTGCATGATCTGTGCGTGAAAGAACCTTCAATCATATATGTATGTCTTTTGTGGCCACATGCCTCTCGATACACATAAGCAAGTATACTCCTGGGATTGGTATTTAGCATGTTCTTGTTCTTCCTCACGTAAAACGTTGGCATACTTTTTGATGCTGCAAATGTTGATCTTATTGGGCAACAATTGCCAGCTTCCCCGTCGTGCACAAACCAAGTATCAATTAGATTAAGCTTCTGCAAGGCAAAATAGTTAGTTAAGAATCGAGATCAAGCACAATTGTTCTTTCACTACTTTATTCTTATATATTTGTTTAATTTATGAGTATATACAAGCTCAAAAAATGTTTTTTTTTTTTTTAACAGTCTGGCAACATAAATTTCTGTATCTTATGATATGCAAGACTCATGTTGAGTCACATGGCAATCAAGGAAATCATGGTCACACATGTACCCTTAGATTTGATATCAAGGGTGGAGAATATACAATTGTGATTTTAGTGTTTGGTGACCTTGTATACTAAATCACCACACCAGCACCAAGTGACTAAGAGAACAGATGTAGACTAAGCTTCTGCCAAGCAAAACTGATGCCAAGATCAAACAATTTTGTTTTTTTAACTCTCTTTTATTATAGATACATGAATTTAATATCAAGATAAAGAATAAAAAATGCGTTTTAATTTCAAACTTGATATAAAAAACGATTGAGGGTGACCATGTATACTTGGTCACCAGCCATCAGATGACCAAGAGACTGGTGTATATTTTCACACTCACACACACACACACACACACACACACACAATTACGATGTATACAATTGGAAATATATTTACCTTTCGGCGACGCATTGTGAGGACAGACTTTCCAGAGCCATCCATGAGAATGACTTCCTCAGGATGTCCGACGTAGTTGTCCACTCGATAAACAAGATCTCCATTTGTATCGATGACTGTGAACCCTTTACAGCTAATTAGAAGGGATTTTCTCCACACTGTTAATGATGTGCAAGCCCCGGAAGTACTGTTATCAGTAGCCTTGTAATCTTGGTGGTCATGCTGTTCTTGATGATTATGCACAGACCTGGTCCTAGACAAAGATTTCCACATACGAACAATCTTCATTATTGATCTCTCTCTCTCTCACTCTCTCTCTCTCTCTCTCTCTCTCTCTACTAAATGGTAAACCTTAAGCAGGTTAAGGAAGCAGATACTTATAGCCTGAGAATGTTTGAGATATTAATGGTCTTACTAGAAGTAGAAAAATTCTGCGTTTTGTACAGAAAAGCTGTATGAACAATCCCCCTTGCAGTTAATCACGCAATATACATTCTGCTGTGGGGCATTTTAAATTCATAATTTTATTGTGTACATCTATTGCATGAAACTTAACACTTTGTCGTATCATATTGGTCGTCACAAGCATGACACGTGTAGATCTGAATGAGTGAGATCTGGGTTGTGCGTTTATATAAAATAAACTGTGAAAGAGACAACTTGCCAGAAAAGTCATTGCTGGTTTCCTAGAGGATTAATTCATATACTAATTGGTGATTAGCATAATCAGCATCAGAAAGGTGACACGTATATGTTTTCTTAGGTGGTCTCCGATATTTCAACTTTTCTCTTTTGATTGTAGAGTTAGGTTTGTTTTTATTTAATCGGACATTCATGGGCACGAGACAAAGATGGGAACCATAAAAGTTAGGCAGGGAACAGCTTGCACGGAGGCGTGAAACCGTGAAACCGTGAAACCCAGGAACATTGTTGCTCAAGTTATTTCCGTGACCATTTATTCAAACTAATATTACAGTTTTTTTTTATTTTATTTTTATTTTTATTTTTTTTAAATACATTAACTTTATATACAAACATTTACAAATTAACGACCTTTTAGATGATCCAATGATTTTTACTCTTTCTTCCTCACACACTATTGTTTATATTTTGTCTTCAAACTGAAAAAATCAAATAAGAAAGATAACGGACAAAAATGAATATAAGCGTGCAGAAAAAAAAGTATGTAGAAATCATTTCTTATATAGAATTTCTTTGTGCACACCATACCACACACAACCTCAAAGTGGAGTCCAGCACTCACTATGTCGAATATATCATTCAGTAGGCCATGATAATAGTATTTCCAAGCCTTCGTATTTTAGAGAATGCAATGTAGAAATACCCATAGTTTATTGCTTATCTCATAAATTATGATCAAATGCGTTTTACTAATTGGCTATGAAAAATGTTTTGGGCTCGTTTAATAACATTTGCTTTTTAATTTTGGTTTGGGTTATTTTATACACACCCCACATTTTATTGACTACACCCTACATACTTAATACACTTCACGTTTACTTAGGGGAAAGAAGGAACAAAGAAGAGTGGATGAAAGATGGTGTGTGTGCTTTATGTAAGAAAAGTACAAGTAAAGGCAGACAAAACGAGAACTAAAAACCAAAAACCAAAAATTATTCTGAATTGTTTTCACTTTCAAGATTTTATTTTTATTTATTCTTTCTTATTTCTCCCCTATTTATTATAACACTTCTTCCTCCCTCATTTCTCCTATACAATTTTCTCTTATCTCAAAAAAAAAAAAAAAAAAAAAAAAAAAACTAAAACTAAAATAAAAATGTTTATCATAAGGGACTTTAGTCCTTAGTGTTGTTCACTATTTGATAGGAGCATATTTATGCGACTTAGTTTGCTTGTTTTCGTACATTTATGTTATTAGTTCTTAGTTATTTTAGTTCTTTAAGCTTCTTTTGTGTGTTTTCAGGTTCATAAGACGTATTTGGCGAAATGATGCATTTTGGAGCATTTTGGAGCACTTTTGGGCACAAATTGGATAGCTTATGCTTGGAGCAAAAGGAATGGATGAAATTGAAGAGTTGATGTCGCAAGGATTCCTACGACGACAAGGATTCCTACTATGACAAGGATTCCTACTACGATGAGGATTCCGATTACGAGAAGGTTTCCAAATTGAAGGAGGTTTCCCACTCACACAAGGATTCCTACTTGAAGTAGGAAAGTTAAGTCAAAGTTTCCTATTTTGGTTGACCTTTCCTAAATCAAGAACGCTCTAAGTTTTAGCACTTAAGATGGCTCCCGAGCACCCTTGGACAACAAACAAAGGTTCTTTGCAAATTTTCCCTTCCTTGCCGTGCAAAGAAGGTGGTTTCCCTTTCTTTGTGCAAAGTTCCCTATTTTTCATATGTGTTAGGACCTTTCCCTTATTCTAACACCTCTTGGTTGGTGCCTTACCTTTCCCTAAACCTTATGCCGCACCTCCCCTTATGTTTCCTGATTTCAAACTCTTATTTCCTAGTTTAATTCACTTTCCTAGTTCTAAAACTTTCCCTAAAGTCCTAATTTCTGATTTCTTGCAAGGAATTGACTGTTCCTTCCTTCTTTTGCACCAATTTCGTTTCTTACCTTAAATCCCCTTTCCTTGCTTTGCAAGTGGTTTAATTTCTGATTCCTTGCAAGGCAAGGACATTCCTTATTTGTTTAAATTCGTGCATCCCCTTTTTCTGAAATTATTTGGACTTTATTCACTTACCTTTTCTATTTAGACTAGGAAATCTGAATTCAAACTTAATTAGGTATGTTATTAACTTCCTAAAACACATATATTCAGCCCTTGGTCGAACCCTAGAGGGGGATTCAGACAGAAATTCGTCCATTCACACCCTAGGGCAGAAAAACACCCCAAAAACACCATTCTAGCGCCCAGAAAATACAAGCAGCCGCTCCACCTTCTTCCACCCTCTTTGCCGAGTTCTCCACCACCTTCCAACCATCAAACACTCTTCCACACTCACCCTACACCCCTTGCCGTGCCTCTACACCCCCCAAAATCCATTCTACATCATCAAAACAGCCCAGAAAACATCATCATCCAATCTGCCGCAGCAAGGGAAAGGAGACAGTTTCACGAAATTGTTTGGCTCTTCATTCTGAGTTGTTGAACAATTTTAGGTGTATTCTATCTTATATTTCAATGTCTAATTCATGTAATCTTTGTTTTGCTTTGAGTATGATTGGCTAAATTCGTTTTGGCTAAGGGTGTATTCAAACCATGATTATATATGTGAAATAAGTTGATTACTTCCAGTTATCATTGCATAAGTCGTAAATACAATTTACTTAACCGTTTGGTTTAGAACTTATTCTTGTTTGTTGATTGAGAGTGCACGCTTAATTTGCATGCTTGAATTTGGTGCTAGGATATAAATTTGTTTCACCTAATCGTTATGAATTTATATTTGCAAGTAGTGAAGGTCGCTAGTCACGATCGTGTTAAGTAGATTCCTGGCAAGAGTATCATGCTTTTCATAATTACAAATGCCTTGTCGATGCTTATGATTTCCAAAGAACGTAATGATTCTAACTTGTGTCTTTATCATGCTGTTCATATAGAGAACTTGTTAGGAATAATTTGTTTGCGATGCATATTCATCCAATTCAATGATTCTAGGGAAATCTGAAGGTTAATTTAAGCGGACCTAATTAACTTGGAGTGTCGAGGTTCATAACTTATTGAATTGATAGCTGGAAATTGATTTACGTTGCATATATTTCATGTGTGAAGAAGAACCCCTTAGCCATTCCATCATCCATTGGTTTATCTCAAATTGTTTTACAATCTGTCCATTTAAATTAATTTCGTCCAAACACAATCCCCCCATATTTTGTTAAGTCTTAGTCATTATAATCTGTCTTATTTTGTGTTTTTAAGTATTTGGAGTCACAAACACTTTCAAATTCGTCCAAATCTGCCTAGTTTATATTATTGTTTTGTTTGTTTGATTTTCGTCCAAAACCAAATCCCCAATTGTCTTAGAGTGTCTAATTGGTTCAAATATGTTTTAGATTGTGTTTTTAAGAGTTTTGAGTCAAGTTAGAACCAATTTTCGTCCAAGTTTGTGTTTAGGCTCAAAACTGCCCAGTTTGTGTTTTTAGGCAGTTTTGAGTGTTTTTAGCTTATTTTGAGTCTTGTGAACTTGTTTTGAGTTTTCTTTAAGTGAGTTAAATGTTTTAAAGGTTAGTTTTATTTATTTGAGTCAGTTTAAAGTGTTTTAGCACCCCTAGTTAATCCCCGGTTAGAACGATCCCTACTTACATCATTACTACAATTGTCACAAATAGGGTTTAATTTGTGTGTCACATTCGTAACGCATCACTATTTGTTGACCCCAAAGAAATGGTTCACTATTTATTTGTTTTTTCAAAAAGGGAGAGTAAGCTGCCGAAAGTTTGGGTCATAACCTCTTTCAAATTACAGAATTATGCTAGCTGGTATCATTTTGTAGATTAAATAAAATTCATAGCAAGAATAAAAGGAGTGATGGAAACAGTTTAAGGAAAAGGATCTTCTATTACCACTCACAAATCAATAAAAAAAGGATCTTCTATTTTCTACGTGGATTAATTCTTAGGCTTTTGGTGGGAAATTGCCAAGTGAAAAGAACGTTGATTCAAAGTTCAAAGTTCAAAGTTGTGACGTGAAAAGTGGATCAGTTATTCACTACCCCTTCTAATGACAACAAAAGGAAAATTAATGAAAATGATTTGAAAACTTTGAGTTTTAATGATAAGGACAAAATAAAGTGTAAAGTGAATAGTACTAGGTTTGACTTTTTAATGTAAAAATATGATTTTTCGTTAAAGTGAACAATACCGCGGACTTTTTGTTAAAACTCCCTAAGACAAATTGAAGAAGCAACAAGAGTAGTGCTTTTTGCCAGCTAGTATCTGTTCAGTTTCCTCAGAATCAGGAAAATCTCTAATATTAGAAAGCCAGAAGCACAATTTGGTGTCTGAAGGTTTTACCAAAAAAAATTGGACTGAAAAGCCCCTTAAACAAAAAAAAATTAGAACTGACCGAATTTGATACACGAAAACACACAAGGCTAATTTTGTAAAAAAACATAAATCTAAAATTCATTTTATTAGATCAAACAAAAAAAAAAAAAAAAAAAATGGGGAAGACGTGTATTAAATCTCACTAGAAAAGGGGGCCAATAACCCCACTCCTCCTCCTCCATTTTAGGACAGAGATTATTATCCCATATAAATGTATAAAAATTTGTAAAAGTTTATTCTATTGGGAAAAAATGAAAAAAAGAAAAACAAATAAAAAAGGACGGATACTTCAAATAAAAAATAAAACGTGAAACTGAAAAATTGCACCCAACATTCAGCAAAAAGCAGAGTTTCTAATCAAACTGAACTACCAATATATTATTTTATTGAAAAAAAATTGATAAAAATTCGGCTAAAAAAAAAATTATAAAAAAAATACAAAAGAGACATGATAAATCCCTCAAATAAAAAATAG